TCCTACTTAAAACAACTTAAGTAACCATTCCCCAAAACACATGAAAGAGTATTTCCATTTAAAAGTGCAAACCCACGATATGTTCAACAAAGAAAACCCATCTTCCCCCTAAAACTCTGTCGCCACAGAGATTAGCTTTTATATATGAAATATATATATTTAACACAGGTTTTCTATTAGGCTGCTTTCCCTTGGAAGTATCCACCCTCACAAGACTAAACAAAACAAGAACCTTTATTTCCTTTGAATTCACAACTTTTACAGAAAGCATCAATTTAAAGCAAAGTCTGCACAAGTCTTTTCAAGAAACCCTTTTGTTAATACAAAATTGTCACAGAGCTTGAATATGAAGGTAAAGTTTCTAAAGGTAATAAAACAATGTGAACATCTCAGGTTCTGTAGTTAGTACTAAATGTCATCTGCAGCTACATAAAAAACAGCCCTGTAAGCACAGTCTTCCATGCCTGATAAAGCAGTATATGGTCAGCAACAGGCCAGAACCAGAACAACTAAAAACGTAAAGAGCGTTGCACTTTACTGCAGAGCAGCGATCTGTGTGCTGGACTGTGGCAGTGTTGTCCTCCTCCTGGAATTTCCTGCTGAGTACTGTACAGTTATTTCATGCATCTAGATGTTTTTTTGTAAAACACACTAAAACCACATGCAGATTATCTACTAAGGTGGGCAACCTGAGTTCAACTTAAGGTCATTGAAAATCCAAGGCCTTGTTGTGGAAGAACCTCATTGTGCTGCTGGATGCTGAGTGCAGTGGGTGTGAACTGCAACGTTTCTGCTGCACTCGTATTCGTTGATAAAAGTAAACGGAGCCAAGAGTGGATCTCATCATTATGTGATGGTGGTACACTACAGGACATCATCTCTGTTTCTACTTCTGACAAATGAGGCTAGATAACATGTCATTATCAGCCACAAGCATGAAGAGGAAATGAGGGTGTCAGATACCTACCATTATTGTTCCCCCTGTCTGGGTCCGCAAAGGCCTCAGCACCTTCCGCTGCACCAGGAAATTAGGCAGAAACAGGAGAGGTGGAATTTCTGTGATGGTTGCCACCACCATAGACCACTAAATGGAAGCAGAACATAATTAGAGCGGTATAGAGATGTTTTTTTCTTTGCCATCTGTCACAAGACAAACAAAACTAAGTTGCCCTCAACTGAATGAACAGCACGGAAAACAGGAAAGGAAAGGAAAAAAGATGTGGATATAAAGGTGGAGAAAAACTGAATAATGTTGCCAGGGGGTTCAGGCTGAAGCTTGAATTCTCATGAAAAAACGACAGTAAAGAATAAAGCTATTGCACCTCACAACAGAATAAATACAAAGCCTGTGAATGTGACAGAAATACTGTTATCAGCTTTGCTTCCTCTGTAGCAGGCACTCTACTA